TGTCATCCCTTCCTCTGCGATCTGCCCGCTTACTCTTTTGTCATCCCTTCCTCTGCAATCTGCCTGCTTCCTCTTGTCATCCCTTCCTCTGCAATCTGCCTGCTTTCTCTCTTGTCATCCCTTCCTCTGTAATCTACCCGCTTTCTCTCTTTTCATCCCTTCCTCTGTAATCTACCAGCTTTCTCTCTTTTCATCCCTTCCTCTGTAATCTGCCTGATTACTCTCATCATCCCTTCCTCTGCAATCTGCCTTTCTCTCTTGTCATCCCTTCCGCTGTAATCTGCCTGCTTACTCTTGTCATCCCTTCCTCTGCAATCCACCTTACTCTCGCCATCCCCTCCTCTCTAATCTGCCTGCTTACTCTCTTGTCATCCGTTCCTCTGCAATCTGCCTGCTTACTCTTTTGTCATCCCTTCCTCTGCAATCCGCCTGCTTACTCTTTTGTCATCCCTTCCTCTGCAATCTGCCTGCTTACTGTCATCATCCCTTCCTCTATAATCTGCCCGCTTACTCTCATCATCCCTTTCTCTGCAGTCCACCTGCTTACTCTCTCGTCATCCCTTCCTCTGCAATCCGCCTGCTTACTCTCTTGTCATCCCTTCCTCTGTAATCTGCCTGCTCTCTTTCTTGTCATCCCTTCCTCTGTAATCTGCCCGCTTTCTCTCGTCATCCCTTCTTCTGTAATCTGCCTGCTTACTCTCTTGTCATCCCTTCCTCTGCAATCTGCCTTTCTCTCTCGTCATCCCTTCCTCTGTAGTCTGCCTGCTTTCTCTCTTGTCATCCCTTCCTCTGTAGTCTGCCCGCTTTCTCTCGTCATCCCTTCTTCTGTAATCTGCCTGCTTACTCTTGTCATCCCTTCCTCTGCAATCTGCCTTTCTCTCTCGTCATCCCTTCCTCTGTAATCTGCCCGCTTTCTCTCGTCATCCCTTCTTCTGTAATCTGCCTGCTTACTCTTGTCATCCCTTCCTCTGCAATCTGCCTGCTTTCTCTCTTGTCATCCCTTCCTCTGTAATCTGCCTGCTTACTCTCGTCATCCCTTCCTCTGTAATCCGCCTGCTTTTTTTCGTCATCCCTTTCTCTGCAATCCGCCTGCTTACTCTCTCATCATCCCTTTCTCTGTAATCTGCCTGCTTACTCTCTTGTCATCCCTTCCTCTGTAATCTGCCTGCTTACTCTCGTCATCCCTTCCTCTGCAATCCACCTTACTCTCGTGATCCCTTCCTCTGTAATCTGCCTGCTTACTCTTTTGTAATCTTTTTCTCTGCAATCCGCCTGCTTGCTCGTCATCCCTTTCTCTGCAAGTTGAAGTCCACCGGTCTTAAAATTGCCAAATTTGGGAGATCCCTGCGTTAATCCTTCCAGGAGTGAAGGAAAAACACAAAAAAAACCACACAATGCGCTGGCAGTTAAATAGTTTATGTAGAGAAGGCCACTCTATGTGTTTTTGTGTGTGTGTGTTTGTGTGTGATTGTGTGCGTGCGCAGAGATGCTTGTGTGTCGAGCCAGCAGTCTTCCGTGCCCAGCACCCGCTTCCAGCCTCAGGTGGCCCACTGCTGCAGCTTCCGGTGCATGAGGAAAGTGGTGTGTGTGGGGCGCCTCTGGGCCTGGAGCTTCAGGGGGGGCAGCCCCCCCACCTCCAAGGAGGGAGTCTCTGTGAACAGCTCCCCCGGCCGGTAAAAGGCCATCAGGTCGGGTCCTTTCTCGGCGGCCGTCTCCTGCAACAAGAAGACAGGTTTGGCGGATCGCGGGCAAAGCACCCGCTGCTGCCTGCAAATCCCCCCCCCCATGGGCCCATCGGTATGGCCCCTCTCCCACCTTTCTGTCCCCAGGGGTGGGGTGATACTGGACGAGGGCGAGTCTCTCCTGCACGGCGGAGCTGAGCACTTGGTCAGCCGGCACTTGCAGGCTGATGAGGCCCCGGTAGAGCTGCTGCTCCCGCGGGATGTTCAGCCCTGGAAGAGAAGAAGGGGGAGGGTGGGTGAACCCCCTCCCTGGAGAGGATTCCCCCCTTTAAAAGCCTCCCCCAAGGTGTTGAGCTGCCCCCCATGAATGGGACGGAGACCCTCTGCCCCGAATACTGGTAGTTTTCGACTTACAACAGTTCGTTTAGTGACCAAAGTTAGAAGGGCCCTTGGGGGGAAAAAGGGGGATTCCGGGCGGTTTTTCAAACTCGTGAACAAAATTTTGTCAACTTCTCTCGAAGTGAGTAATAGGGGAAGCCGGATTCGCTTAGCAACTTGGTGCGACTCACTTAACAAGCCCAGGGACTCACTGAACCACCATGGCAAGAAAAGGTGGTGCCTTAGGCCAAAATGCATTTTCGGAGAACATCTCGCTTTGCGAGACAAAATTGTGGGCGAACGGTGAACGCGGGGAGAAGAGGGCCCGTAATCCTTCAACCCAATGCCTAGGGCTGCCCAGGCACCCAGACTGGCAAGGCCCAGAGCACCCGGTGGCTGGGCATTATGGGCATGAGAGTCTTCCCCACTCCTAGTCAGTGAGGGTTGCTGCCATCAGGCCCCACTGAGCCCCC